AATCTCTGTTCCTAAAGAGATTATGTTTAGCCCTGGCTGGTGTGGCTCGGTGTACGGAGCACCAGCCTGCGAACCAAAAGGTCGCTGGTTGATTCCCCCTCAGGGCACATGAGCTGGGTTGAAGGCCAGGTCCCCAGCTGGGGGCATGCAAGAGGCAAGGAATCCATGTATCTCTCCCTCTCTTTCTTCCTCCCTTCCCCTTTCTAAAAATAAAGAAATAAAACCTTTTAAAAAAAGAGATTATGTTTGAAGACTTATTCAGCATGAGAGGCATTATAGTCCACTCAAAAAGAATAACATTTTGTTCCTGGAAGTGCTACTTGGAATTAAATGACCAACACAAAACAAATCATTATCTTCTAACAAATCATTAGAAGTAATTCTAAATTCTCAAAAAAAAAAACACCTTCAGAGAAAAACAGACTGAAAAGATACTTATGTTGTGACTCTGCTTTCTTTACCATGGAAACCCTGCATACTGTCTTTTCTAAAACCATTTGCACATATCCAGTCACACTCCAAAGTGCACATATTCTGCAGGCACACTCATTCTTTTTAAATATCCTACTAGTAACCATTTCCCTGGGTGACTTTAGAAATCTGATTATTTTTAGTCATTTTTCATACATACAGCTGAACACTAACAGGCATATGAGGCCCAACAGATGTTCCTAACAGACATTCCTATACTGCTACAAGTAAGACAACTAAGCCAGCATAATTCATATTTACACTAAAATTAATAAGGTAATGTGAAAGGCTATGTGATTTGGCAAAAATAGTGAGTAGGTAGGGTAGGAAAACGGGGAGGGAGGGAGGGAGGGAGGGAGGGAAGGAAGGAAGGAAGGAAGGAAGGAAGGAAGGAAGGAAGGAAGGAAGGAAGGAAGGAAGGAAGGAAGGAAGGAGAAAGGAATGGAAAGGAAAAGGAATGGAAAGGAAAAGGAAAAGGAATGGAAAGGAAAAGGGGAAAGAAGGAAAGAAAAGGAGCTGAGAGAGACTGAAAAACTAACAGAAGAATGGAGTAAATGATCAGCTAAGTGACCATAAGATACAAATAGAAAATCTAAGGTTAAAAGCCATCAGGTATAATCAGAGTCCACAGAATACTCAATGTTTACAGTTGTTCGAGGTAGACACTTAAAATTCTTGATTGCAAGTAAGTACAAAGAATGGAACCATATACATCATAGCCACTATCTTTATGCTTGGGTCTAGGTTTGTGAAAGAAGGAAGCTTAAGGACTCTCAGAACTGAATTCATATATCTTTAGCATACCAAAATGTTTTTAAACAAAAGTTGATGATTCTGAATAAGATGAAAATGATTTTGGTTCTCACAGCTCCGATCTCACCTTGAACTGCTAGGTAACATTTTCCTTTTGGTTCCCCGGTAAGCATCTTCCATCTGTTTCTCCAGTTCTCTTATTTTCCACATATCTGATTCCTCCTGAATCTACATTTTTTTAATAGGGAAGAAATTAAAATAAGTTACTAAAAATAACACTTTACATAACAAAAAAGCAACTAAAAATATAGTGTGCTCTACTTATTGGATTTTAGATTGGGCTATGATCAAGAACCTGAGAAACTGCCCTAGCTGGTATGGCTCAGTAGATTGAGTGTCAGCCTGCAAACCAAAGAGTCTCCAGTTCAATTCCCAGTCAGGGCACATGCCTGGGTTGCAGGCCAGGTCCCCAGCAGGAGTTGCATGAGAGGCAACCACACAAGGTACATTTCTGTCTCCCATCTCCTTTCTCTAAAAATAAATAATAAAATCTTAAAAAAAAAATGACTTGAGAAACTAATTCTGGCTTCTCTAATATGATTAAACAATCCAATGCAGTAAATCTCAAATATGAAGAATTCTGCAGCAATAGAACTTTTTAACCCCTGCATAGACACACAACTTTATCAATTTTGCAATTATACTATAATTATCAAAATGATAATTCCTTATGTTTTTAAAATGCTTTGTGATTTAAACTGTATCATCTCAATCAAACCTGAAGCAATATTATGAGGAAAGCCAAGCAGATACCATTATTATACTTTACTGAGAAGAAACAAAAGCTCAGAAGTTTTACCAAAGTCAAAAGGCTTACTTAGTAAGGACAGGTCTTTAAACTTTTCAGGCTAAGTTTCTTTTCACAACATTATACTTTTTATTGAAAACAAAGCAAAACAAAATAAAACGTAAGAATTGCTAGAGAATTTTCAGAAAAGATTACAAATTACCAAAAAACAAGAATATGTTTTATTTCTAAGTCCTCCTATAATATTGTGTTAAATCTATGCTAGATTTATCTTTTTTAGCCACCACTTTCAAACCTAAGCTCATCATTCAACTAGGGGTGGTTTAATGCAACTATCAGAGGCTGATATTTTGTACACTTATAAAATATCAGATGATATAACAGTATACCATTTATGATCAAACTAGAGTTGTACAGTTCACGAAAGAAAACTAAACAAGGGTCCTTGGCCCTGTTTTCATTATATGTATTCTCTTAGGTGACCTCATCTACTCTCATGACCTTTTGAGTATATCAATTAAACCCCAACCTCTATATCTAGCCTCAATATTTCTCCTTTCCTCCAAGTTTGAATCTCCAACTGTCTGGACATGCTATAAGCACCTCACTATCAACATGTTCAAATCCAAATTAATTACATTTCAAATCATACTTGTCTCTTTTCTTATGTTCCCTATCTCAATAAATAGCATCATCCAGCCATCATTTACCCAGCCACACACGAAGTTTTATGCTTGATTCCATAATTATCACCATCATCCAATCAGTCACTCAGTTCTTTTGATTCTGCCTCCTAAATTCCTTTTTCATCCCTGCTTTCATGTGAACCCCCCTCAACATCTCTCACCTGGAACATTGCAACTGCCTCCTAATTAGTCTCTCCACAGTTTCATCCTACTTGATCTATCCCCTACCCAGATGAAAAATCATCTTCTAAAATTACAATCAAGTCACAATTGGCTTAAAAATATTTGATAGTTTATTTATCACCTAGAGGAAGAAAATCTAATCTCCAAGCATCATAATCCACTCAGCCCTTATCTTCTATCGCTATACCCTACATTCCTTATATTCTGGATGCACACAATTTCTTAACATGCCCCAAGTGCTTCATGCATTTTCTTATTGCCAGTACGTGATTTTCTCTCTGTTCATCAACTAGTTCAGATATCAGCGCCTCAAATACCGCCCATTCTCTGAAGCCTTTCCTAACTCCCCAGGCAGATTTCATTATTCCCTTAGTGCACTAAAACATATCTCTATTACAGTAATTATCAAACTATACTGTAATTACCTATTTCATTCATCTTGTATCACCCAACAGTGACAAAATAATGTTTGGCACACTGTAAGCCCTCACTTAGTACTGAGAAATAACTAGGTTGCACCTCTCACCTTATTGTGAGCATCAGTGTGTCGGATGACATTCCTTAGGAGGACTTTTCCCAGTGGAACCCGGGACATTCTTCAATCTGAAATGAATCAATAAATAACATTTAAAAATAATTCCTTTTATTACCTTATCTTTTATTATAATGTTATTTAACAAGGCATGAGGTAAGGGAAAGATCACTTAAAATTCATGGGTCCTGAGTAATAGTTTTTTCTTCACCATTAAAAGGGAAAATGCCAGCCCTGGCTGGTGTAGCTCAGTAGACTGAGCATGGGCCTGTGAACCAAAGTATAGTGGTTCCATTCCCAGTCAGGGCACATGCCCGGGTTGTAGGCCAGTTCCCAGCAGAGAATGCTTAAGAGGCAACCATACATTGATATTTCTCTCTCTCTCTTCTTCCCTTCTCCTCTAAAGATAAATAAATAAAATCTTTAAAAAAATTTTTAAAAAGGGAAAATGCCTGACCACAGAAAAGTGAAAGTAAAAGGATAGTGTACATTAGAGTTCTTTGAAGTGACATTATTTTATTTACTCCTCAAAATTATTCTAAGTTTTATATAAGGCAAGTGTTTTCATTCCTAGCTAGTAGATAAAATTCCCTTAAAGCCATTGTGCCAGGCCAAAGGGTCCAAGACAAACACGGTTCAGATTAAAAATCAACTCTCGAATCCTAATTACTGTGCGATGAAGCAAATATCTGGATTTGAGAGTGTCCGGGACGACAAATATCAACAGTAACAAAAACTGACCCCTAAGGTCATCAAATACAGAAATACCCTAAATTTCTCCACTCAAGGGAATTTTATTTTCTATTCTGTATAGAAACTTCCAAAAAACATAACAGGGCTATTCATGTGTGTTGCTAGCAGGGGCTTTGTGCAATCACCCCACCGCTCACTCACCCCTCGATCCTGAGGAAATCAGGCATCTTGTTACTGTGAGACGAAGAACCACTCCATTACAAGATCTCCTCCGACCCAGGAAGCCAAGGAGTCAGTGCTCAAAGGCAGCTCTGCAGCTTCACCCGAGTCCTTCGTGAAAACGCAGCCTTCCCACCGGTTATTCTGCCCTCACCCGTGCCCCAGGCCACCGCTGCCTTTCCCTCAGCCCAGACCCACCCGCAAGATATCCGTCGGGACTGAAGCCGGAGGCTGCGCCGGCAAGGAGTCCGGAAGCCCGGGTTGGCAAGGGCATTCCCGGCTCAGGCTCCTCTGGGACGGACCCCGCGATTAAGTTTCGTTCCCAATGGGACGCTTTGGACGGGTACGGCCGTCGCCTGGGCCCCAAGAGTATCTAAAGTGCCTGAAGGGGGGGCTGAGGCTTCCAAGTGGAACACAGAGAAAATACCCCCATCTCTGTCACCGGAACCCCTGCCCCCCAGCGGCCAAGAAGCACTCCGTAGCCTTCCCTCCAAACACCCTCCCCACAGAAACGCACACAAACACACCCATACCGTGCACCGCAGCCTCGCGTGGCGGAGGTGGGGGCAGGAAGCGGTCTAGGAGAAAGGGGGGCACGCTTCCGTTTCAGGCCGGAAGTCGTGCTGCTGAGAAATTCTTCCCACCATCAGGAGACTCTGAGACTTCCACAGGGAGGGTTTCCAGGTCAGTCGAGAAGTCAACAGGTGCAGAAGGGAGGCGGATGCCTTCTTGGAAAAGAGGTGGATGGGGCTCAGCAGAGAAGTGAGGCCAAGAAGGGAGATTCCGGAACAGAATGTAAAAAGACCTTTCTGCCGGGAGCTTTCCGGACCCAGTTACGTGCAGTACCTAGACTGGTTACCCTGGTAACAGACGTCACGGTTTGTAAAGAAGCCGAGAGAAGAGGTGGGTTCTCAGGCCTCTGGAATGATTGTCCATTAGTTAAGTTTCCCCCTAACCCTAGTATAGTATTTGAAGAATTCAAACCTCCTCTTTTTATCATTCTATGGATGCTCTGGAACAACTTTCAGTAGAGGAGTGGTGGGTGCGAGGGAACTTATCTCAAAATGTAGAGAAAATATTATCACTTCTCTCATATAGTGTTGACCAAGTATTCCAGCCTTTCTGCATTAGCCTATTAATCCCCATAATAACCCCATGAGATAGGCATTATCGTCTTCATTTTTGAGGATAATTAAATGAAGCGCATATATAAATCAGTTGCTCAAGATCACGCAGCTAGTAAATGACAGAACTAAAATTAGAGTCCAGGCATTCTGGCTCCAGGGTCCATGCTTTTAACTACTAAGCTATGCAGAGGATTGAGGAAATCTCATGTAGCCCTCATCACACACACACCTCTGGCAATTTCCAGACCGCACAGGGCACAAGTCAGCGAAAACCTAGGTGCTGGAAAAAGGAAACTACCGGGCAATCCAGACTCAGGTGGGTGTGTACTCGCTCCCCTCACAGCTTGTGAGGGTCTAGGTGGAGGTAAGGCTGTATTATCTGGAGAATGACTTGAGAATTCAACAAGGGGTAGTAGATAATTCAAGAATAAGGAAAAGATAAAGTGGTTCTTTAGACATGTGTTAGGGATAACAACTAACTTCACCAAAACAATTCCTGACCTGTTCCTCTCCCCATCCTCCAAAAGAAATGAATCAATAGTTACACAGTTATTTTTCCTTAAGTCATGTCTTTCCACAGACTCAAGAGGCCTATTCACCTCAATCATGGAATCATCTTCAAAGGGTCTGCTCACCCAAGTTAATCAGTTGTGGAACCTCTTAGATGATCTCGCTGAAAGTAACCCTGAGAGCTACAAGAAGTTCATTCAACAGCAGCTGAAAGAGGGCAAACAGCTCTGTGCTGCCCCAGAACCACAACTCTGTCTACAAACAAGAATCCTGGTAGGTAGATGTGGTGCCCAGGGAATTTTTCCTTTTTCCAGCACCTGGGTTTTGGCTGACTGGTGTCCCATGTGGTCTGAAAATTGCCAGAGGTGTGTGTGTGATGGGGGCAACATGAGACTTCCTCAGTCCTCAGGTCCTGAATGAAAAGACCCTGCAATGAAAATACCCTTCGCTATTGCTACTTCAACACAAGAAGACTTGAGGGAAACTGCCACCCTAAGTGGAAAATGAAGTGTAATGTGGAAGATTGCATCAAAGGAGTAAAAATGGGAAATTCATATTGATATATATTGGAGATCTCAAAATGAGACATTTTTTTCCTGTTAGAATGAAATAAAAAGTAACAATGTAATAACTTAATAGAGAATCATAGACTAGGAGATTTTTCAAATAAAGAGAAGTTATTTAGTTGGGGACATAGTGGTAGAAGAGTGTCAAACAAATTTACCTGAAACAGCTGCTTAGATCAATTCCCCCTTTCTCCTCCCAGTTACTCCAAGAGTAGCAACTGGATTCTTGATGAAAAGCTTTGGGGAAATCAGGTAACAGTATTTCTCAAACACAATTTTAATGTATATAATGACTTACTTGAAGCCTGAAGTTCTTACTCTTCAAATTCTGTGATTTATTACTTTTAGGATATTACTTAAACATAAAAAACTGGGTTTTAAGATATGCAAAATTATTTGATTTCTAGAAACCAAAAGAAAAAATACTTTTCATCAACTTATGTCAGTGGGAAAGGATTCCAGTTCCACAATCAAGCACTCATCCAATACCTTTAAGTGTTGGCAGACCAGAAGATATGTCTGAAACATCAGGTACATAGAAATATGGGACCCAACGCACATTTTAAAAATTGTATCGGGAATACCATGAACCAGATTTTACTTGGTAAAAGACATTACATATAAACTATTTTATTTGTTTAGGGATTGACTAAGTGTACCTTTATGCAAATTGAATACTGTTTGTCTAATAATATGAGCTGTTTTACAATGCCTACTTGAAATTTTGTGTACATAGCATCATTATGGTTGCCTCTGAAAAATATAGGAATAGAATTTATACATTCTAGCTTTATCAGGATGATGACCTAATATATTACTTGACAGTATCATTAGTGAAACAAGTGGTCTTCATTTGACACCCTCTGAATGTCACACGCAGATGTTTACACTGTCATCGATGTTGCCTACAACCCTGATGTTCTCCAGGCAGCAGAAAAGGACCAAGTGAAAAAAGACCAATTAATAAGGATGGCCATGAAATGCATTGAGGAACAATTCCAGTTCACTCTCTCACACTTTTACCATATTACTAAATTTAAAATAAAAGGAAGCATTCAAAGAATGAAACAAAATCTGATGAGAATTCAAACTGACCACAGGGATTTAAGAGAGAACATGAGAAAGGGTAAGTTAATGAATATAAATGAAAAATTAAACTGACTTAAAATTTTTGTATCCTGTGAACATTTTGCAAACTAGAAATCTCAATTTTAGAAGACAAGAAACTTAAAAAAGAAAAAGATTAGATATTAAAATAATTTAAAAATATTGGCATATCCTTAAAGATTTTTAAAACCTACAAGCTTTTAAATATTTTTGGTTTAAGATTCTAAGTTTCCCAAATTTTTAAGTTTCCCAGCTAAATTAGCTGCAGTTTTATCTGCCATTTTGACTAACACTATATGTGTATGTGTATATATATATGTATGTATGTGTGTGTACACATATTATATATATATTGCAGCTGATAGCTTGATAGTAATTTATGTTGTTGATTAATTTTTATCCCCCCTTTATTTCATAAAGAACTAACCCTTGAACAGATAAGAAGTAGTAGTGTGAACAATCCAGATCACTTCCCTCAACTTTTACTACAAAGAGACCAAGTTTCAGACAAAAAAGGGTGCCTGATAGAAGAGATTTCCAGTACAGAGATTCAGGTGGACATGGAGCAACCAGCCTATGAATTAAAAATCGTGGCAGATCAGAATAAGAAACCACTGAAAATTGAATTAAAAGTTGAATTACCTGGAATTAATTCAGTATCTCTTTGTGACCTTAATGTTTCTCAGGTAGGTTGAATAGTTTATACTATAAATTTATATCAGTCAATATTGCCTATATTATGCTGTAGTAACAAACTCCACGATCTCAGTGGTTTAATAATTTGCTCAGGTTACATGTCAGCTAGGCCTGCTCTGATTGACAAATCTTACACATTTCAAGATACAGATAAAGAAGCAATTCCCATCTGACACGTGTCATTTTCCTGGCAGGGAGAAAATAGAAATGGCCACACCACGCAATGGATCTTAAAACTTCCTCTCAGACATGGCATATATCACTTTTACTCACTTTCTAATAGCCAGAGTAAGTCACTAGACCAAGTCCTACATCAATAGGGCAGGGAAAAATATTCTTCTTAAGAGCTAGTCACAGGAAGTTGCATGGCAGGGATATATGTATAATCCTTTTATGGAAGATCAAATAATTGGCAATGATCCTCACTCTACCACAGTCCATCCACACTTGGTCACAAATATTTGCACCTTTTCTCAAGAAAGACATTTCCAATTCCATTATCAGACTCCAAAGTACAGGATTTTGCCATGATAGACTGCATTCTGCTCCTGTCAAACCAGACCTATGACCTGCAAACACAAGTTATCTACTTCTGTAACCCCATGTACCATACTATATGAAATAGATGATAACCACAATTAATAATCTCGATTCAGAAGTGGTAAAAATACGAGGTACATAGCAGTTCTGAAATCCTGGTCAGCAATATTTTGAGAGTACTGTTCCCTGAATAGGGTAGACTGTGTTCTCAGTTAGGGCCATGACACATTTCTTTATTACCTAGCTCCCTTGTTCCCATTGTTTCCCATTACTTTCAGTTCCATTCTTTGGGAGGTCTCTGCTCCCTCCTCCCCACCCCTGCCCCAACTTTCACTGTCTACTTTGGCCACATCTAAAGAGAGCGTGGGAGGGAGATTTTGCCATCCTTAGATGCTGAGCAGTTTACTCAGCCTGTTTCATACCCACAATGTTGGAGTCCAAAGATTGTTTTAAATTAGTTTTAGTCCAGGCTGGCAACATTTTTACTTCATTCCAATCAGTGCTATACCTAACAGTTTATTTTTAGACATGTCCATATTTCAATGACCTGTGTTTTTGACTGAATAGCTATCATCTGAGCCAAATGTAAAGATTTACTGAGGTCTGTGTTAACCCAGGTAGAAATTTTAACAAAAATATAGACTTGAGATTTAGTCTTTGCCTCCAGGCTGTCTTAATCAGTCTGTGTTGATATTTGAAAATCTAAATTTTATCCTTTACTGGTTGAAAATAAAAATTAGTTGCATTTTTGTCAAGTCTTAGAATTTCTGAGCTCTGCATATTCCAACTTTGTTTGCAAACTGGTAAATTCTAGTCTAAGTTCATCTTTTTGTTGTACCTTGTTAGATGTAGCCAATAAAACCAATGCATGCTACCAGCATTTTATTTTCTCACTTCTTTACCTAAAGCTACAAATTAACTAGGTACACAATTTGTCTTCCAAATTATTTATAGTTTTCCTAAGGGTTTTATCATTATGAAACATGGATCACCATCTTTTCAGTGTCCAGTAAGTTTCTTTGCTATTTGCTAGCCTGCCCCAAAGTCAATTCACATAATTTGGGATCACAACACCCATCTTCTGGTCCTGCTACCGATAAACTTCTGATGTATTAAGCAGCGATGACAAATAATCTCAAAAGCTCGGGGATTAAATAGCAGCAACTTTATTGCTCATTGAAGGTCACTTGGCAGTAAATTGGGATCTTTTTCTTATGGAAAAGGAGTAATTCTGGGAACAGTAATTTAATAGCACTAATTTTAACCAGGAAATACTTTTGTATTTTCATCCTTTAAAATCTTTCTTGGTTTATTATTCTTAGGATGATTTATTGATTGAGGTTTCTGAGAAGTACAGATTACATCTGAATCTTCCAGAATCTGTGAATACTGAAATGACTACAGCAAAATTTATCAAAGAGAAAGCTACATTAATCGTCACAATGCCATTGGTGTAAGTCAAGAGCACTATGTTTTTCAGGTTTTCAGTGATAATGTTATGTGAATTATAAGACCATTATGGGTGAAGAGATATTGGTTTACCTTAATCACTAGTTTCATATTTTTTAAGAATTCCTTTTGATGGAATGAAATTTTCTCATCAGCTGTTACCTTAAAAAAATAAATAAACTTTCCTCAAATAAATTTGGCACCAAGCAAAAACTACTAAAAATAGTATGGCCTTAATATATTTGTTTTGAAGATATTTGTAATGGTCTTAAGTAACAAATACCACTTGGAAAAATTTGTTTCCAAGTAACATGTGAGAATTCTCAGTTCGCTGGTTGAAAAAAATTGTTGTCTCTGGTTATTTTTGAATCAGAAATAAATCCCAGAATGCAAGTTTTTTATTATCAATATGGGCCATAGCAGTAAAAGTTTCCTCCAGCAAAAAAGATACAAAGCCAATATAATAATGCAAACATATTGCTTCTGTGAACCTCTGTACTTCTATAAACAGCTCTGGGGGGAGTGCAAGCTACCCAGGTAGGCCTTTAATATTAGATGTAGACTTTTCTGTGGATTGTACACAATGAAGCAGTAATAGTACTTGAATATTATTGCACATGATGCAAAATACATGCAACTCTAATTTAAGAAAAAGGAGCTGACTTGGGGACAAGTGCCTTTCTCTTAGGAAAGTAATTTTTAAAAATACATAGGTGACATACTTTTCAATTCCCATTCATCAAGTTGTCAGATAGTTGTTTAATACAAAGGTATCAACTTTCCAATTTATATCCCAGGTAAGCAATGCTTACATCAAACTATAAACATCCCTTAATTATCTTTTCTACATACAAAATGACTTCCTTGTGATTGGTTTCTAGTTCAACAGTCTTTAAATAAAGTTCTTACTAATTTTAAAACTTTTTAAAAAAAGATTTTATTTATTTATCGTTAGAGGGGAAGGGAAGGAGAGAGGGAGAGAAACATCAATGTATGGTTGCCTTTTGTGCATCCCCTGCTGGGAACTGGCCTGCAGGGAACCGGTCTGCAACCCAGGCATGTGCCTTGACTGGTAATTTTAAAACTTTTTAACTTTAGAAACTGTTATATGTGTAATAGATAAAATTGATACATGACATTTAAAAACATTTTTATTTAATATTTTACTTATTTTTAGAGAGAAGGGAAGGGAAGGAGAAACATCAGTGTGTGAAACATCGATTGGTGGTGATTGGTTGCCTCTCACACACCCCCAACTGGGGACCCTGTCCTTAACCCAGGCTGGAAATCAACCTGACTGCCCCTCGGTTTTGCAGGACAATGCCCAGGCCACTAAGCTGTACCAGTCAGGGCTAAAAACATAATTTTCTTAAACTTCACCCAAATTTGAATCCTTCAAGCAAACAGGATAATTTATCATGTGAAAATGGTCTACAGTTGTATGATGTCCTAAAATTAACAAACCTATCATATTCTCATCTCTGAAAAAACTTGGAGTGCTTTCATGTTTTCTTCTGCAAAATCAGTCAAAACTGATTTCCTGGTTGAACCTCTCTCCTCTTGTACTCTCATCAGTTACTTAAGTCCGCATCTATGTATGTGTACATATTGATGAAATGCATTTCAAGGTCCAACACACTTAATGATTAAATGTTAAATTAATATCTTAATTATTTCCCAAAATATTTTCACTGATATTATTTTAGTGGATTTTATATTCATATAAGCATCTGTCCTTCCCCCTCCCTACAAAAAGCAAAACTGCCCAGGAGCATTAACTAATAATGAACTGTGAAGTTAAATTTGAATCTTACAGACATCTTTTGGCCTCAAAACTGGAATTTGAAATTGACATAAATTGTCCTTGATTTAGAGACCAGTTTTCCATAAACTTGGTTTTAGATCAGATTGTCAGTAGTGAGGGCTTGATTTTTAAGGCTAGAACCATGGGAGCTCTTGTCCCTGGACTGGGTGAGCCAGAAGAGAGGAGCAAGGAAATCTAGGTGCCTAGACAGCTTCCTAGGAAGGCTTTTGGGAATCTAGGAGAATGGACCTGGTGAGTACTTTTAAGTCAAGATGTCGAGTCCAAAAGGTGTTCTAGCTTATGTGGGAAGACTAGACACTAGATCCTGTAAAAAAATTTTTTTGAAGAGCCACAGGAAGCACGGGCAGTGGGAAGCACTCTTGGAAGCAAGATTCATAAACTGAGAAGTCTGTGAAATAAACTGAGGGCTGAAGTGAAACAATGTCAAGCCAGAGTGAGCAAGTAGAAGGGTGATTGTTGGTCAGCTTTCCTAAGGGTGTAAAGGACGTGATTTGGGAATTGGCAAATTTGTATGTGTTTTACCCAGTGATCTTACTGGATCGACTTCAGTCCTTGATCCTTCATCAAACCTGTAGCGATTGTCTTTGTGCTTCCTCCCACACTCTATTGGAATAGCTCAGCTATTATCCACATGTCAAGTTCAGTGGTAAGTGAATGTGAAAGCCTCGGATATTACTGTACTGATAAATATTTATCAGGTGATTTGGATGCCACGATTGTTCCAGTAGTCTGCTCGTTGGTTCTCTTCTATTTGTATTTCTCCAATAAATCCTGCACAGCCAAGAAAATGCTTTCATAAAACACTGCATCATTCTCTTGCTCAAAAACCTTCAATAACCATTCATTGCCTGTAGAATATGGTCAGCCTTCCATTTTTCCCTCACCTTCCCATCTCTCTTCCATTTCCTTCTTTACTCCCTTTCTTCCCTCCTTCCCTTCACTTTAATTAAAGTAATATATATGTAAGTATATATGAAGTGCAGAACCTTTTACAAAGTAAACCCACCCTGTACCACACAAATCAAAGCAGAGATTATCAGTTCCCTGGAAGTCTCCCTCTTGTATCCTCCTGGTCATTTCCCTCAAGGTCACCAGTCTTTTGATTTGTCATCATACATTTGTTTTTACCCATTTTGAACTTCCTATAAATGTTAAAAGTGTAAAACTCTTCTCTGGCTTCTTTGTCTGAATGTTACCTCTGAGATTTCATCCATGTTGTTGCATGTAGTGGTCATTTTTTTTTATTGCTGCATAGTAATATCATCTTCTAAATATTCCACAATTGATTTACTTATTGTACTGTTGGTGACATTTGGGTTATTGGAGCTTTTTCACTTTGGGACTATTAAGAATGATGCTGCTATGAACATTCTTTTTTTTTTTTTTTTTAAAGATTTTATTTATTTATCTTTTAGAGGGAAAGGGAAGGAGAGAAACATCAATGTATGGTTGCTTTTTTTTGTGCGTCCCCTGCTGGGAATTGGCCTGCAGGGAACTGGCCTGCAACCCAGGAATGTGCCCTGACTGGGAATCAAACCGCAATTGTCTGGTTTGCAGGCCCGTGCTCAATCCACTGAGCTACACCAGCCAGGGCTTGAACATTCTTGTTCCTACGTTTTTGGTGTAAAAATATACAATTTTCTATTAGGTGTGAATTTGGTAGAATTGCTACAGCACAGGGTATGCATGTTAGCTTTAGTAAATAATGCTGAACAGTTTTTGAAATTGACTGAGCCAATTTTATGTTACCAGCAAGTATACATGATTTCCATTGCTTTGCATCTTTATTGTCAGTTAAAAAAATCTAACATGCTGGTGGGAGTGTAATAGTATCTCATTGTGGATTAATTTTGCATTTGCCTAATAAGGGATGATGTTAAGTACCTGTATTGGACTCTTCAAAGTCTTATGTTATAAAGTATGCTTCTTAAGGCTTTTGCAAGAATTTTATTGGGTTGTCTATCTCTTACTAAACTGTAGAATTCTCACATATTTTGGATATTAGTTCTTTGTCGGGTATATCTATTATAAATCTTACACTCTGGCTTGCCTTTTCACTCTCTGATGGTGTCTTGTGATGAAAACAAGTCTTTGTTTTAATGAAGTTTGATTTAGGAATCTAAGTTTATACTTACCACTCTTGTTTCCATTTAATTAATCTTTCCCTAACTTAAAAAAAAAACACAACAAACAGCTCTGGCTGGTGTGGCTCAGTGGATGGAATGCCAGCCTGCAAACCAGAGTCACTGGTTCAATCCCCAGTCAGGGCACATGCCTGAGTTCCAGGCCAGGTCCCCAGTTGGGGGCACTGGAGAGGCAACCAAATGATGTTTCTCTTGCACATCAAAGTTTCTCTCCCTCTCTCCCTCCTTCCCCTTCTCTCTAAAAACAAATAACTATTTTTAAAAAAATTATCAGTGATTATTTTCCCATGTATTCCAGAGTTTCTGCATTACTGGGTGATGAGTATTCCCATGCAACATGTTTCCTATCATGCCTTGACTGGTCAACCCTCTTGTAGACCATGACTTGAGATACTATATAACTATATTCACAAACCTCAGGACTGGAGTAAAATACCTAACACAGCCAGATCACACTTTCATCTTGCTATGTACCATCCTCCAACATTAGGGGCTTCAGTTATAACTCCTTGAATTTTAAGTATTTGAATTATATCCTTGAGAACTCAGTCCTGATTTTATCAATTCTATAAACTCAAAATGTTTCTGTATTAAGAGTTTATACAGATTAATGAGCTGTTCCTGCTCTTAATCATTTAATATGAAAATTAATTACTGACAGGTCAACTATTAGACCAGACACATGAAACAATCTAATTTGAACCAAACCATCATTTCTAGGTTTTACTCTCAATTCTGGTAAGATAAAGAGACTGAATCCAGATTTAGATTATAAGTCAGATTAATTTTTAACTTAGAAAAATTTCTATTAGAAGGTAACTTTTTATTTTTCTTTCAAGGGAACTAATGTTTAAAGCCATAAACATTAGTAAAGAATGAATTATCTCTTTGAAGTTTCATGTGTTTGAACCAGATGCGGCTCATAGTGATAATGGTCCCTTGTGATAAGCTTTTCCTTCTGCATAACCTTCAGTTCAAGCTATAATTACCAATTACTGTACTGATGTTTTCATAACACTACAAGAGAAATATTTGTGGAATATATGGAGTGTCACTTGTGTACCATGTAATAATAAACATTTAGAAATCAATTCAGGCCAGACTTCCGGCCAAGATGGAGGCGTAGGTGGAAATATTATACCTCCTCGCACAACCAAATTAAGGCCAACAAAGATGTAGAAACAAAAACACAACCAAAACAGAAAATTGAACTGTATGGAAGTCCGACAACAATGAACCATTCATCCAGACCAGTAAGAGGGGCAGAGTCAGCGGCCAGAAGAGAAGGGTCGTGGCAGGGAAAAGCAGTGGCTGCCTGACCAAACAAGGCGCGCAGGCGGTGGTTGGCAGATCCCAGGGGTGGGGTGGCAATAGGCAGACCCAGTGAGGGCACAAGGTGGCTGGCTGACCACGGTAACGCATTCACACACAGATAAAGCAAGTGAAAAAAAACGGACAATGAGACAGACTATGCAACGCAGGGCCCCAGCGCAAGGAAATAAAGCCTAAAAGCACCAACTGAAAAAACTTTTGGAGGTTGAGGTGCTGGGAGAGGCTCCCAGCCTCACAGGAGAGTTCTCTGGGGAGACCCGCAGGGTCCTAGAACGTACAAAAGCCCACCCACTGGGGAACCAGCACCAGAAGGGTCCAATTTGCTTGTGGGAAGCAGCAAAGGGGACCAAAATCTGAGAGAGAGCCGAACAAACACCATTTCTTCTTCTCTGACCCTGCCTCCAGTCACAACCTAGTGACTGGATTGACCCACCCCAGTGAACACCTAAGCTTTCGCCCCTCATATGTAACAGGCTCGAACAGACCAAAACATTAGGGCTCAAACAGAAAAACAGATAAAAGCCCCAGAGTCAATACTTCTAAGCGACCAAGAGATAGCCAGCCTATCAGATGCACAGTTCAAAACACTGATGATCAGGATGCTCACAGAATAGGTTGAATTTGGTGGCAAATTAGATGAACAAATGAAGGCTACACTAAGAGAAATGAAGGAAAATGCACGGGGAACCAATAGTGATGGAAAGGAAACTGGGACTCAAATCAAGGAAGTGGACCAGAAAGAAGAAAGAAACAACCAAACAGAAAAGAGTGAAGAAACAAGAATTAAAAAAAAAAAAAAAAATGAGGAGAGGCTTAGGAACCTCCAGGACATCTTTAACGCTCCAACATCCGAATTACAGGGGTACCAGAAGGGGAAGAGGAACAGTTACGAGTGGAAACCTTATTTGAACAAATAATGAAGGAGAACTTCCCCAATCTGGCAAAGGAAAGAGACTTCCAGGAAGTTCAGGAAGCTCGGAGAGTCCCAAAGAAGGTGGATCCAAGAAGGAACACACTAAGGCACATCATAATTACATTAGCCAAGATTAAAATGAAGGAGAGAATTCTAGAAGCAGCAAGAGATAAGGGGACAGTCACCTACAAAGGAGTTCCCATCAGACTGTCAGCAGATTTCTCAAAAGAGACCTTACAGGCAAGAAGGGGCTGGAAAGAAGTATTCCAAGTCATGAAATCCAAAGACCTACATCCAAGATTGCTCTATCCAGCAAAGCTTTCATTTAGAATGGAAGGACAGATAAAGTGCTTCTCAGATAAGGTCAAGTTCAAGGAGTTCATCATCACCAAGCCCTTATTATATGAAATGTTAAAGAGACTCATCTAAAAAGAAGACGATAAAAAAGATGAACAGTGAAAGGACAGCAAACTCACAGTTATTAACAACCACACCTAAAACAAAAGCAAACTAAGAGGACAGCGATATCAGGAGTGGAACCATAGAAATGGAGATCACATGGAGGGCTGGTAACAGGGGAGTGGGAGAAGGTACAGAGAATAGCATAGATGATAGGTAGAAAATAGACAGGGGGGAGGGCAAGAATAATATGGGGAAAGTAGAAGCTAAAGAACTCATGACACATGGACATGAAGTAAAGGGGGGGAATGGGGGAGGGGGGTGCAGGGTGGAGGAGATGAAGGGGGGAAATGGGACAAATGTAATGGCATAATCAATAAAACATATTTTTAAAAAATCTATTCAACAATAAAAGTCCTAAATTTCAGGGTACAGCTTCATACATTACATACAAGGAAGCACTAGTCAGATCAATTTTAAATAGTCAAACGATTTCATATATTTATTAAAGCACATCAATAGAAAGTCTTGGAAGTGTGATAACGTTCAAATTCATTTTCATTATCCTGAATATCACTCCCCTCATCAGCAGAAGAAGGGCAAAACTGAAAAAAATATTTAGGCTCAAAAAGTAGTATGCTACCTAAATAATTTTTTTCTCTCCAACAGGATTTTTGGACTTTTTAATTTTATTTTACAAATCAACACTGGGGTGGGAAAACACAGGACACTTTTTTAAATACACATTTACCAATCTTTATGCAAGAAGAAATGACCATTTTGTTTTGGTCATTATCTTTTAGTACTCTAAACTCTTCACTAATGCATCATGTCTCCCCCTCTTCTTTTCAGACAGAACTAAATGTATGGATTTTGGCACATATCTTGCTAGAAACCATATTTTATGTATGTACATTTAGTCCACTGTCACTTGATACAGTTTTCCAAAGTTATCTGAGTAGTAAATTTGGTAATTAATATTGGAGGAAGAATTCTACTCTCACAATTTCTCCATTAAATTCTCTAACCATATTCTTTTATTTGGATGTAATTGTAGAGTTCTGCTCAGAATTACATTTAAGTTGTTTAAATACACAAATTCTCATTTACAACAGTGGCTAGTTTATATTTATATCTCATCTCAAGAATGGAAAACAACCACTTTGGGATTCACAGAAAAATAAACAAATAATGACTGAAGAAGTCTTAGAAAATGTTAACTTTAAAAATTTCACTTATTTTCCTTGAAGTTCTTTACTCTTCCCATCCATGATAAAACCAAGATCACGTAAGAGAGAAATGTAAATTAGGGTTAAATTCCAAAATCAAGCTTCGATTCAAACCCTTTCTCCAAGAGAACAAATTTTCCTGACTTCTCCTTTCTTCAAATATAAGGAAAACATCTGACACAATTAAAGTTCAAAATCTCAAGCTTTTATCCAGGTTACTTTTATATACTGACTCAACAGGGAACCACAATTCTACCCTTACATTTCCCAGTGGAAGTACTTAACCACCAAAGTGCTATGCCATATGTCCCTTGACTAGGGAGTACACAGCTTAAAATCTGGTG